TTTTTTGTTCTTTGATTTCCGTTTGATTAATGGAGACATACRGAAGTGAGTTCAAGCAGGTGCCGGTTTCTGGACCTGCCTCAGTAGATTCCGTTTTAACTGGTGTGACCACAATTAAGCTAGATGGGATGAATTATCTTGCTTGGGCACATTCTATAAAAATCTATGTTTGTAGTAGAGGAAAACTCGGGTATCTCACAGGCAATAAGGTGAAACCAGAAGAGACAGACCCTGAATTTGAAAAATGGATGCAAGAGAACTACATTGTTATAGGATGGTTGGTTAACTCTATGCAACCCCATATAAGCCAGCACTATCTCTGGATGTCTTTGGCCAAGGAGATATGGGACAGTGTAACTGAGACCTACCTCTGATATCCCAGCTCCTCCTCCTCCTTCTGCTCCTGCTCTCCAAAGGTAGTACCAAAGGCAGAGATTCAGACATGTGCAGGTTGTTTCCACTCCTTCAGAAGAGCGTCTTGCCACTCCCATCATTCCTGAGGAAACAGGTCAGCCCTCTACTGACCCATCTCTGACTGTCCCAAACCTTGACCTTCCTATTGCTCTTCGCAAGGGCAAGCGGAAGTGTACARCCCATTGTATCTCCAAACACTTATCTTATAGCCTTCTCTCCCCTTCCTACTACTCCTTTCTTGCCTCTATGTCTTCCCATGTGATACCCAGGTCTGTACCGGAAGCACTATCTCAAGCTGAATGGAGGGATGCTATGATGATTGAACTTGATGCATTGCATAAGAACCATACCTGGGATATTGTGGACTTGTTAGAAGGGAAAGAACCAGTGGGATGTAAATGGGTGTTTACCATTAAGTATCACTTTGATGGCTCTGTTGAGAGATTTAAGGCTCAGTTGGTTGCTAAGGGTTACACCCAAATGTATGGCATTGACTATCTTGAGATATTTGCTCCTGTTGCTAAGATGACTTCAGTCAGGGTTTTACTTTCTCTAGCAGCTACTTTTGACTGGCCCCTACACCAGTTTGATGTTAAAAATTCCTTCCTGAATGGAGACCTGTATGAAGAGGTCTATATGTCTCTACCTCCAGGAGTGTATGGGAAAGAAATGAAAGGCAAAGTGTGTAAACTACACAGATCTATTTATGGTCTCAAACAATCTCCTTGGGCTTGGTTTGAGAGATTTTGGGCTGCTTGTCTCATTTGGCTACATTCAAACACAATCTGATCATACACTATTCTTGAAGAAAAATGACTCTCTAGTGACCTTCTTGATTGTTTATGTTGATGACATTGTGGTCACGGGTAATGACATTGAAGAGGCCAACAAATTAAAAGGATTTCTCAACTCTAAATTTGAAATCAAAGACTTGGGAGATCTTCGGTATTTCTTGGGCATTGAAGTTGCTCAATCTAAGGATGGTATCTTCATATCTCAGCGTAAATATGTCATTGATCTTTGTTATGGTCACACCATCCGGCAGCGGCACCACGGCGCGCAGCACGCACCACCAAGTAGCAGCGTGCACCACACGCACTGCATGCCAGCACGCACCATGCACACGCCCGGCACCGCACGGCAACGGCACCATGGCGCGCAACACGCACCGCCAGGTAGCAGCGCGCACCGCACGCACTGCACGCCAGCACGCACCGCGCACACACCCGGTATCGCACGGTAGCAGCACCATGAGGTGCGCGCACGGCAGCGGCACCCTGAGGCACGCGTACGCATTGCGCGCACACACCGCGCGGCAGTAGAGTGGGGCCCACACGATAGCTCATAGGG